CTCACTAAGCTTGAATCATGTTTTGCAGACTGGTGAACTACTGATCAACTCACTGAGTATCTCACCTGAATGTCCGGGTGCATGCTCTTTTCTGCTTGGATTTTTCCCATTTTGGACTACATTACTGTCAGATATCTTTTCATTTCATGTCCATAGAGTATCTAAATTGTCTGCCAAATCTAAAATCACATTCCTTGTAAAGTTAATATTCTGAAAAACTCTAGACTTCTGAAAGCCAAAAAGTTTGAGACAAAACAGTTACCCATGATGACCCTTCCTTGCTCTCATCATTTTAACCTCAGGCCACCTTCAACTGACCAGCTGAGTGTAGAATACTCCTTATTGTTGTTATTTGTGTCATTAGGAACCTGTCAGGGTGTCACAGTGTCATTTGCTTTATTTAAAGTGGTGAGAGATTCAAGAAATAAATAAATCAAGTAGGCTATGTAAAATAAAGCCTACATTTAGAAAATTGGAGCAAAAGAGCTTTTAAGAATTTTGGTGACAATGAAAGTGTGACAAATGTCCAATATATTTTGGGTCGACACGACTGGACAGAAACCCTGACTCCACATGTTGGGTTTGGTAGCAGCACATATAAAGATGGCAGCTGTCTGCAGTTCTCTCGCTAACGGCCACACCACCCTGAACACGCCCGATCTCGTCTGATCTCGGAAGCTAAGCAGGGTCGGGCCTGGTCAGTACTTGGATGGGAGACCGCCTGGGAATACCAGGTGCTGTAAGCTTTTGCCTTTTGCCCACCACTACGCCTTTGACTGCAAAACAAACTCAACTTAGTAAACTAAAGCTTAAACTTGAATATTCCATACCATTTTAGAATTGTAAAAAAAAATGGGTTTGACGGGTTTGATCAATTATTCCCATTACGTTTGTTTATATAGATGTTCTATACAGATTTTTACATATGAACTTACTTCTATTCCCCTTATTACTTTAGGCGTTTGTAACGTTGCTTTCCTCTCATTTTCTAAAAAACAAATAGACGTAGCCTCTTCCGGGTGAATGACGTTTCAGCTCTGCCAGTGGCTGCTACAGCCATAGACATTTATACGTAGACGCCGCGTTGAGACCTTTTCTTCCGTTGCACAGATACGTCAAGGAGTCCGCCATCTTGGATATGGCAGAACGCCCCATAAACTAATAAAATAAAACGGACTGAACTTCACAAAGCGCCTTTCTACAAAGTGCTTTAAGTTAATGCACCTTATTAACCCATTCACACTCACACTAATATATCTGGAAATAAATAGGCACAAAAAATCTTACGTAACTTTTAAAGTGATGATTATTCACTTTTACTCCTGATGTTTAGGATATAAGGAAGCACACAACCAGCGTTTGTATTTTTAATACTGAGTGTTTTCAGCTACTAAAGCCTGTAACTCTGTTACCGTATTATAAATACTGAAATATTTAAATTTAACATATAATCTGTGTCCATGATAACCAGATCCTGAAAAGTAGATGTGGTTTCCTGGATAAAGAGCACAAACATTTACATTTAACTGATTTTGATTAATCGTTTTTAAATTCTCAATTTCAATATATATATATATATTTTGTCATGACCTGGCACTAAAGCATGACACATGTTGGGTTTGGTAGCAGCACATATAAAGATGGCAGCTGTCTGCTG